ACCTTGTTATCTCAGATTTTCCAGCATCTGCAGTTCCTACTATCTCTCATATTCGGGTAGGCTTTATCTGAAAGGTATGGAGATCAATTATGAAATCAAAAAGGAAAACACTGAGCATCTGAGTAGAGAGAGAAATAGAGTCAACATTCCAGGTTGTGACCTTTGAATCATTCCAACAGGTCACAGGGCTGGAACGTGAACTCATTCAACAATTGCCAGACCTCCTGAGAATTTCTACAATTTTCAGTTTGGTTTCAAATTTCCAGACTCCACAGGGTTTAGTGTTTTGTTGTGTTTTTGAAACACTGTAGCACTCGCTGCACCAGGGACCAAGCGAAAGTTATCGTGCCCCAGTAAATTTTAACAGGACCTTGATGCCAACCTGATGTAGTTTGGGGAGAAGTAGCAAAGTAGAAACAAACCAGGGCACATGCAGTGGAGATTTGGGACTCGTGACTGGGTTAGCAGGGAGGGTGAGGACCTTGTACAGAAACTTCAGTAGTCCCTTTGGGAACTGGAGGACTGTGGGTGAGGCACTTTCAATTTTACAATGCATCTGTAACAGCACTTATCAGAGCTAACTGATTAACGGCAAATGTTTCAGACCTTATAAAGATGATCTGTTTCAACTGTGTAGAATGTAAGAAATAGTGGATTAAGTTATGGAACTAGGAGATCAAACTCACAAACATTAGAAGTGTTGTCAGATACAAGGGTGGGGCAAGTAAGTAAGTGTAGAAATTGGATTTTCAGCAATGTGAACATCAGTTAAGAGTTTAACAAAAGCGATGAACAAGAAATGAACAAAAACAAAGTTGCTGGAAAAGCTCAGCCGGTCTGGCAGCATCTGTGGAGGAGAAAACAGAGTTAACATTTTTATTTGAACAAGAAATGAAGACTGGGAGTCCTCAAAAGGGACATATTAAGACCTGGTCTACAAAATCTCCATTATTACTTATTTGTACGTGTTCATAAACAACAGGAATGAAGATGGAGGCACCCCAGGGTAAGTGGCACTTTATAAAACTTCAATCAAAATTTAAATAGTTAAGAAAAACCAAAAAAAAAATTGGGGATGCTGTAAATCACAAATCAAAAACAGAAATTGCTGGAAAAGCTCAGCAGGTATGGCAGCATCTGTGGAGAGAAATCAGAGTTAATGTTTCAGGTCAAGTGACCCTTCCTCAGACCTGAAGAAATTCCAGCGATTTCCATTTTTATTTAAATGGCTAGTGTTGGCCTTCACCATGCCCGGTTCATGTGCACATTGAGATATGCAGGGTTAGGGGTTCTCTCAGCAATTATTAGAAGCGAATTGCTTCTTCTAATGAATGCTGAAGAGACAATGAAATGGAGAGGGGAAAGCTTACACCAGTGGCCAGATCGCTCATTACTCACAGTTGGTCTCTTGATCCGGGTGTAGGAATGAAGAGCCTCAACGTAAGGCTGTTGCAGCCTTTCCACCAGCTCATGGTCTTCAACATTTGGGCGGTCTGGGGAAAAACAATTCGATATCAGTTAGGTGACCTCAGAACAGCACCATTAACTTATCAATTACCCAGGACCAACACTTGAGATTGTAGCAGAGTAGGTAAGGTGAGACATAGCCAAATACATCTATTTATGATGTACCCGCAGCGTCAAGGATTTTGAACCTAATCCCCTCAGTACTTCATCTCACCAACCTCCACCACCAAAAACAACAAGCGCAGCAGGTACATGAGGACACCACAACCTGCAAGTTCCCCATCCTGACTTGCAAACAGAGTCACTGGATCAAAGTCCTGGAGCTCCCACCCTAACAGCGTTGTGGGTCAATCTACACACCAAGGACTGCAAAGGTCAAGAAGGCAGTTCAACACCACATTCTCAAGGGCATTTAGGGTTGGGCAATAAATGCTGGCCAAGCCAGAGATGACCACATCCCATGCACAAACGAAAGAGACAAAACCAGCTAATAGAAGACGTTAAAGTTTCCTATAGCCAAGATTAGAAAGGACACAAGAGGAGTACTCTAACAAAGAATTACCCCCTAGTTTAAATTCTGATTGAAATTTGACCATGTGTTGATATTGAGTCAGTTACATATTTGATTTCGAGCCTAAAAAACTGCAGATGCTGCAATCCAAGGTAGACAAAAAGGAGGCTGGAAGAACACAGCAAGCCAGGCAGCATCTGAAGGAAAGGAGAAGTCAACGTTTTGGGTATTACCCTTCTTCAGGACTGGATGTGGGGGGTAGGGGGAGCTGCAGATAAAGGCGGGGGGGTAGCGGAATAGTGGTGATAGGTGGACACTAGTAGTAGGTACAACTGGTTGGTCGATGAGAGGGATGAATCTGGTTGGTGGATGGAAGGGAAGGTCAGAAGTTGGAATGGAAGGGAAGAGGTGGGGCTGGAAAGGGAGCTGGGAAATGGGTGAGAAGGTGGGACGGCCAGCCTAACCTCCCGGTCACCATCCATTTCAACTCTCCACCCCTCTCCGACACGTCTGTCCTCCAGTGTCGCAGCGACTCAGAATACAAATTTAAAGAACAACACCTTATCTTAAGCCTGAGCACCCTACAGCCTGGAGGACTCAACATTGAGTTCTCCAATTTCAAATAACTTTTTCACCTAACTCCCAGCTCCCCTTCCAGCTGCATTTCCTCCCTTCCATTCCACCTTCTGACCCTCCCTTCCAGCCACCAACCAGGCTCATCCCTCCCATCGACCAGCCAGGTTGTTGACTTCTCCTTTCCTCCAGATGCTGCCTGGCTTGCTACGTTCTTCTAGCCTCCTGTTTGTCTACCCTACGTACTTGATTTCCTTTGTTGTTGTTTGAACTTTAAAGTTAGAAAATGCATGTGCGACAACCTTACTTGAGTTTTTACTATTGAAGCCTCTGATAGCAGTCAGAATGTACAAACATGGCCATTCAGCCCCTCAAGTCTGCTCCGCCATTCAATAAGATAATGTAGATGTGCAGACGCAGTCTTGGGGGCATTTTCAACTGAGCACCCAGGAGTAAAACTAACATTACAAATCATTCTGAATGCTTAGAAACCCAAATGAATTTTATTTTGTTCAATTTCATTGAATAAAATATGCTTGAGGTGTTGACTCAGGCCTGGTGTTTTGACAAGGAGTTAGTGTAAGATTGTACTGTCTGCATTTTTAGATCTCAATGACATCTTCCAGATGAATATAATCTGCCATATTATTTCATGGTTTTGTTTATCTGTCACTTTCCATAGATTGTAGCTTACATCACAGTCTATTGATGTTCATTCAATCCTATTAGCAAGTGTCAGTGACCTTCAGAGAACATGCAGTGCTGAACATGGGGAAATCCAAGCTTCAATGTTCAAAAGTAAGACACATCTGCTTACAGTTGTTGTAGAAGGGCATTGACTAATCATGTAGAACTCAGTGGGAGAGATGAGTTCATTTTAAAGTTATAGTGACATTGAAGAGCAATGTAGACAGCAAGCAATCAGTGTGATGAGATTCTTTAATTGATCAAGTGGTCAAGACACTTTACCTGCTGAGAAGAGACTGATAGCGATGAGGAGAGCGTATTCTGCATCATCCAAGTGGAGATCATTCATGCCTTTTGAAAACTCAAAGATAGGATTGATAAACTCAAGCTGTAGTCCTGAGACAAAGAAGAAATGAAATCACAAGGTGTTTCAGAAAGGGATCCCAGTGCACTGTAAATCTGATCATCACATTGGGATCATAATGAGATCCCAGTCCACTCTGTATCCAATCAGCACTCATGGATCAGAATGGGATCCCAGTTCACTGTAATTCTGATCATCAGACTGGGATCCGAATGGGATCTCAGTCCACTGTATATCCAATCATAATAAAGGTATCCAGAATGGGATTCCAGTCCACTCTATATCCAATCATCATACAGGGTTCAGAATGAGATCCCAGCTTGGTCTACATTCAACCATCATGCAGGGATCAGAATGGAATCCCAGTCCACTGTATATCAAACTATTATACAGAGGAGTTTGACCACAGTGTAATTGCTGGTTGAACAGCCCTCATCCTCTGTTACCCATAGAGTCTGGGCCAGCTCCATTATACTCAGTGAACTGAGCACTAGGTCAAATTGTCAAGGAGGGGATTGCTGAAAAGCTTCTTAGCTCGTGACAGCCCTCATTAATATCGTAATGTTAACGGTAAGCTTTGGAACCTCTTGCCAGACTTCAAATGATGTGCCAAATTTCATTAACCAAGAGATTCAGAGAACACAGGAAGGTGTTGTTTGATTAGTCTTGCTCCCTGCTTTACTCAACATGACACTATTTGTAAAATTTGTACAACTGACCTTTGCAAGTCACGATTGAATCTATCACCACTGCATTTCCAGGCAGTGTGTAACAGACAATCACTTGCTGACATTACATTGGAAATTTCTGCACTCAATAAGGCCCCTACAATGGTACAATATTGTGTCAGCACAACCAGTGAAAATGATCAGACAAATGTCACCCACCTGCCCTGGCAAAGTCCTCTTTATTGTAACTGAAATCTTTCAGAAATGTGATGCCCTGGATCTCTGGATCATACCTTCGCGATGTTTCCAAAAGCATGATCTTAATAAGAACAGAAAAAAAGAAATCATAAAACAAGTTCCAAGGTCAGACTCATAGACTTATCACCTGACATTAGTGATGACTGTCATAAACACAGTATTGCATATATGACAAAATGACAAAACAACCTGAAAATGTGTTCACAATAATGAAAATCTCTCTTAAACATAGGGGAGTATGGTATAATTCAGTGATAATCCAGTGTTAAACACGGGTATAGCGTGATATAATTCGGTTGTAATCTCAGTGTTAAACATAGAATAATGCCCCAGAATTCAGTGAGAATCTGGGTGTCAAACATGGGACATTATGTCTGGATTCAGTGACAATACCACATCTCAGTATTCAATGATACTCCCAGAGTTAAACACAGGACAGTGTGATATGATTCAGTGGTAATCTCAGTGTTAAACACAGGACAGTGTTATATGCTTCAATGATGAACCCAGTGTTAAACACAGGACAGCATTATATAATTCAGTGATAATCTAGTGTTAAATAATCTCATTGTTAAACACAGGACCCTTTGCTGAATCCTACACTGGTCAGAACATTTACTGGCAAAGTATGAATATGTTCAAGCAGGAGCTGCTGTAAACGCAGTGGAACTGGAAGCTCACCTCAATGGTAGAAGTCTTCAGCAGAGCAATCTGATCTTCACGGGTGAGGTCCAGGAACCCTGGCAGTTGTTTTGCAAAGTCAACTATTTCCTGAACGGAGATGATTGCCAGTTCAGTGAAGTGTGCAAATCTCTGCTGCCTCATCTCTCGATTGTGCATATCAACACTCTGCGGCCATGGCTATGGGACAAAGGATGTAAGAAGACGTTGAATAGTTCAAAAAGCCAAATAACGTAAAACAACGAACCCACCGATAGGATAGAGCCTTAGACATGTTCCAGAATAGGAAAAATAAAAATCAAATGCAAAACTGAATGCTCAACTTAATGGGGGATGCTTATCAATGAGTTGAAATGGGATCTGGCCCAGCTGGACTAGAATCTAAGATTGACAGGTAAAACAGTAAGTAAGCAATGGGAGGCTCACAAGGAAAAGGTAATGCATGTATGGATCAGAAAGGACAGGAATCCACTCCACCGATGTCCTTTAGTTACACACACACATTGCCCCTTTGTCCTTAGTTAGCTGTCTTCTTTCCCTGGTTATCATTTTTCTCTTGATATACTTGTAAAATATCTTGTGATTCTCCATAACCTTGCCTGCCAGTGTTTTCTCTCGCCCCCCTCTTTGCTCTCCAAATTGCTTTCTTGAATTCCCCCTGCATTTCCTATACTCCTCTAGGGCCACCATTGTTTTTCTCCCTTTGTACCTATTATACGTCTCTCTTTTCCATTTAATTCAGTGCTGAATATTCTGAGACATCCAGGATTACCTGGGTTTACTGGTCCTAATTTCATCCTAAAGGGAAGGTATTGGGCCTGTACCACCCCCACTCCCAGTACCTTTTCGAATATATCCCACTGTCCTGCTGTAGGTGTACCTTCAAGTAGCTGTTCCCAATCTATTTCAGCCAGATCCTGCCTTATTTTAATAAAATCTGCCTAACCCGGATCCAAAACCCTCAGACCAGCTTTCTCCTTGTCCAAAACAAACTTAAACATATAGTATTGGGGTTGCTATCACTAAAATGTTCCTCCACTGCTGGCTCGAATGCCTGTCCAACTTCATTTCTCAGAATTAGATCCAGCATTACACCCTCCCTTATAGGACCACCCAAGTGTTGACATGAAAAGATCTCCGTACAGAACCTAAATCTGTACATCAGGAGAACAGGCTCTTTGGCCTTCCATATCTACACTGACCACAATGCCATTCTAAACTAATCCCATCTACCTGCATAGTATCAGTATGTCTCTATTCTCTGTTTCTCCACGTGTCTATCTAAATGCCTCTTAGAAGTTGCTATTCTATCAGCTTCTACCACCTCCCGTGGCAGCGCCTTTCAGGCACTTACCACACTCTGTGTAAAACAATTTACCTCACACATCCCCTTTAAACTTTCCCCCTCTCACCTTAAACCTATGCCCACTAGTATTTGACATTTCCATGCTGGGAAAAAGACTCCGAATATCCACCCTATCCATACCGCTCATAAGTTTACATGCTTCTATCAGGTCGCCCCTCAGCCTCCGATGCTCTAGTAAAAGTTTGGCCAAACTCTCCTTATCACTAATACACTCCAATCCAGGAAACATCCTGGTAAACCTCTTTTGCACCCTCTCCAAAGCCCCCGTGTCCTTCTTATATCCTCATTAAAATTTTGTAGAGTTGCAGCGTGACTTGTCAGCTTTTATACTCAATGCCCCAAATGATTGAAGGCAAGCATGCTGTGTGCCTTCTTTACCACTTTATCCACTTGCTTTGCCACTTTCAGGGAACTGTGGACTTGCATCCATAGTTTTGGATTGGGGTTAGGCAGATTTTATTAAAACAAGGCAGGATCTGGCTGAAATAGATTGGGAACAGCTACTTGAAGGTACATCTACAAAGATTACCCTACATACCAATGCTCCTAAGGGTCCTGCCATTTACTGTATACTTCCTCTTGCATGTGACCTCCCAAAATGCACTACCTCATACTTGTCCAGATTCAAGTCTGACTGCCATTTTTGCGGCCAACTTTCCAACTGACCTAGATCCTGCTGTATCCTTTGACAACCTTCCTCATTATCCACAACTCCACCGACTTTTGTGTCATCTGTAAACTTACCAATCAGATCTTATTTCCATTTTCATCCAAATCATTTATATTTATTACAAACTACAGCGGTCCCAGCACTTATCCTTGCAGAAAGCAGCTGGTCACAGACCTCCAGTCAGAAAAAACACATTGCCACAACTATCCTCTGTGTTCTGTGACCAAGACAATTTTGTGTCCAAATTATCAACTCACTATGGATCCCATGTGACTTCATCTTCTGGACCAGCCTCCCATGTCAAAACTTTAGTAATGTCCATGTAGATAAACATCCACTGCCCTACCCTCATCAATCATCTTTGTCACTTCCTCAAAAAACTCAATGAAATTTGTGAGACAAGACCTCTCCCGCACAAAGCCATGTTAACTATCCTTAATAATCCACTCTTTTCCAAATGTGAATATACATTTCAAGAAATCTGTCGTCGCTATAATGTTTATACTATCATTATCGCTACTAATATTGGAGCTGTTGAAATCCCCTAATACATTTACATTGTTAATTTTACATGCCTTAGTGAATTGATTACACATCTGCTCCTTAATTGCATTCTGACTGTTTGGGCAAATGGAATATTGTCCTTCATTGCTGGAGATTGGAGTTTATAAACGGGGAGGTTATGTTGCAGCTGTATAGGTTGCTGGTGAGGCCACACCTGGAGTAATGCATGCAGTTTTAATCTCCTTACTTGAGTAAGGATGTATTGGCATTGGAGGGGGTGCAGAGGAGGTTCACTAGTTTGAGTTTGGAGTTGAGAGGGTTGGCTAATGAGGAGAGATTGACTAGACTGGGACAATACTCATTGGAATTTAGAAGAATGAGGGGGTGTCTTATAGAAACATGAATTATGAAGGGAATAGATAAGATAGAAGCAGGGAGGTTGTTTCCACTGGTGGGTGAATCTTGAACTGGGTGTCGGGGTTGAGGGTGGGGGCGGTTGGGGGGCGTAGCATGCATAGCCTCAAAATTAGAGGGAGCTGATTTAGAACTGAATTGAGGAGGAACTTCTTCACCCAAAGGATTGTGAATCTGTGGAATTCCCTGCCCAGTAAAGCAGTTGAGGCTTCTTCCTTGAATGTTTTTAAGGCAAAGATAAGTTTTGAACAGTAAAGGAATTAGGGTTATGGTGAGCGGATGGGTACGTGGTCTTGAACCCACAAAAAGATCAGCCAGGATCTTATTGAATGGCAGTGCAGCTCAAAGGGCTGAGTGGCCTACTCTTGTTCCTTGTTTGTGTATTGGTAACATGTTTATTGACACCCAGTTTGTGTTCTGCCAGCTCCTGACCTCATTACAGGCTTGGTTCAAACATGGACCAAACTCAGATGATGATGGTGAGTCCTTTGACTAACTGTCCTTGAAGAGAGGGGTAAGAGGTGAGACAGAAGCAGACAGATTAGTGAGTAGCAGCAGTGAGATTGAAAGGAGCAGCAAGCAGTGGGGAGTTCCCAGAAACATACAGACTAGTGGTGGATCTGTGAGGGACTTGGGAGCAGCAGCAGCAGTGAGGTTAAAAGGAGCAGCAAGTGTGGAAAGGTCCCAGAAGCAGACAAACTGACAGCTATATGGGACTCAGGTAATGAGGCAGTGAGGTTAAAGGGAAAACATAAATAAATATCCACATTCTAATTGGTTAATGTATACCTGGGGTGCTCAGGTCCGTAATTTAAACATCCCGCACTATGTGAGACATCGTAGCACTCTGAATGACCAATGTGCAGGAGGTGCCTCCAGCTGAAGCGACCTGAGCTCCAGGTTTTGGAAATTGAGTGCCAGCTGCGGGGGCATGACAGTGTATTAATGAGACTGAGAAATGTTTAGACAGCACATGGTCAACCCACAGGCTAAGGATGGTCAGGCAGAGGGGGATTGGATGCCTGCCAGACAGAGGTTAGGACTGGGCAGGTAGTGCAGGAATTCCTGAGTGCTGTTTGCTTACGAGCTGTTCTTTGGCGTTGGAAAACGATGAGAGTGATGGTTCAACTGTGGATACCAACCAGAGCCAAGGCCAGGGCACTGTGGGCAGTCAGCTGGTCAGGGTGGGAGGAAGAAGTGTTGAAAGGTAATAGTGGTGTGGGCTATTTTAATGGCAGAAGCAGACTGGCACTTCTGCTGCCATAGACATGACTCCAGGATGGCATGTTGCCTCCCGGTGTCAGAGACAAGAATCTCATCAGAATGGCTGCGGGGCATCCTGCAGGGAGAGGGTGAACAGCCAAAGGCCGTGGTCCATATTGGGACCAATGACTTCGGAAGAGAAAGAAATGAGGTCCTGCAGGCGGACTTTAGTGAGTTAAATCAGAAATTGAAAAACAAGACTTTAAAGGTACCAATGGTTGGATTACTCCTGTTTCCATGCAGTGGTGGGTATAGGAATAGGATAAAGCAGGTGAATACTGGCTGGAGAGATGGTGCAGGAGGGAGAGCTTTAGATTCCTGAGACATCTTTTGACAGAAGCGGGATCTGTAGGATATAAATGGATTCCATCTGAACGGGAACAGGACCAGCATCCTCATGAAGAGGTTTGCAAATGCTATTGAGGTGGATTTAAAATAGATTGACGGGGGAATAGGATCTTGACAAGCAGGGGGAGGCCATGGCCTAGTGGTGCTATCACTGGACTGTCAATCCAGAGACCCAGATAATGTTCTGTGGACCAGGGTTTGAATCCCGCCACGACAGATGGTGGAATTTGAATTCAGTTAAAAATATCTGTAATTAAGAATTTAATGATGACCTTGAATCCATTGGTTCACTAATGTCCTTTAGGGAAGGAAACTGCCATCCTCACCTGGTCTGGACTACATGTGACTCCAGACCCGCAGCAATGTGGTTGACTCTGAACCGCCCACTGGGCAATTAGGGATGGGTAATAAATGCTGCCTGGTCAGAGACGTCCTCATCCTGTTAATGAATTTTAAAAAAGTAGTTTAGAGGGGAGAGTATCTGAGATGGGATTTGAAGTTAAAACAACAGCAAATGAGTTTGGAATGCATGGGCAATATAGGCTAGATTAAAAAAAAGTGATTTTCACAAGGTTAAGTGGAATATATTTTAATGTAAGGAGCCTGAAGTATAAGACAGACAAAGCTGAAGGCACAGATAAGCACGTACGAGTGAGTTATCGTAGCTGTGACTGAGGCTGAAGGCTGATCAGGACTGGCAGCTCAACATTCCTGGTTCACAAGGTCTTCAGACAAGTTAGTGAGGGGGCTAGAAGAAAAGAGGGGAACAATATTGATCACAGAATCAACTGGAGCAGTGAGGATATCTTGGCAGAATCATCCAGTAAGGGCAAAACACAGAAAATGTGTTTGAGAAACTCAAGAGGTCAGACAGAATCTGTGGAGAGAGAAACAGAATTGATGTTTCAAGTCCAATATGACTTCTTCAGCACTGGAAGGAGATTGAGGTCTGCCTTAATCCTCCTCACTATTTCCTACTTTGCTCAAGGCTTCACAGAAATACCCTCAACCCAAGTCCATTTCATTTATATCAAACAGGAAAAGCAATAGTCAGAATATTAAACCCACTCCATATTTTCCTTCAATCAGAAAAATAATTGTTCATCAATACTCTTTGCTTCTTATCCCTTAGACAGTTGTATACCTAAGTTTCCAATATTGCGTTAATCCCATACCCTGTTATGTGGCACTTCGTCAAATGCTTTTTGATTGCATGCAACCGCCTGTACTATGCCCTTCAACGTCTGCTCTTTCATCAAATAACTTGATCAGATTAGTCAAACCCAATTTTCCTTTAAGAAATCTGTGCTGGCTGCATGCAGGCGGTGAAGAAGGCAAAATGGTATGTTGGCCTTCATGGTGAGGGGATTCGAGTACAGGAGCAGAAATCTCTTGCTGCAATTGCACAGGGCCTTGGTGACACCAAAACCTGGGGTATTGAGTGTGATTTGGGTCTCCTTATCTGAGGAAGAAGGTTCTGACTATGGAGGGAGTGCAAAGAAGGTTAGCCAGACTGATTCCTGGGTTGGCAGGACTGACATACAGGGAGTGACAGAATTGGTTAGGATAATATTCAGTAGAGTTTAGAAGGATGAATTGGGATTTCGTAGCAATCTGCATATTTCTAACAGGATTAGACAGGGTAAATCCAAGAAGGATGTTCTGGATGATAGGAGAGTCCAGCACTAGGAGTTAATTACAGTCTCAGGATCTTGTAGGCCTTTTAGAACAGAGATGAGAAGAAATTTCTTCACCCTAAGAGCGGTGAGCCTGTGGAATTCTCTGCCACAGGAAACTGTTGTGGCCAAAACATTGCAAACTTTCAAAAAAGGTGTAGATATAGTTCTTAGGACTAAAGGGATCAAAAGATATGGAAAAAACATGGGAACAGGGTACTATCAATATCCTTTCTCTCCAGCACCCTACACTCCACCACTCTCCACCAACTGTAGCATAAATACTACCTCCTCCACACTTCACATCAGCTTTGATGAAGAGCCATCTGGACTCGAAACGTTAGCTTGCTCTCTCTCCATGGATGCTGCGTGACCTACTGTGATCTCCAGCATTTGTTTGTTTTCTGAACAGGGTATTGAGTTGCATGATGAGGTCTAACCAGATTGAATGGTAGAACAGGCTCAAAGTCCCCAATGGTCTGCTCCTTCTCCTGTACTCTTCGGTTCTATCAATTAGAAAATGGTAGTTTTTATTTCTCCTTACACACTTCACAGCCTTGAAAACTGGATATTGAATTCCTCAAATTCAGAACTTGATATCATGACGTATGTCGTCCAGTTTCCTCACATTCTTCTACCACAATGCCACCACTACCCTACCACCTGCAGGTTGATTTCTGTGTGTTTTGTTTATTTTACTTTCAGCTGAGAGGACCTATATTCATCTTTCCACACTTTTAATTTGTACCTATTTTACATCTGTATT